CTTACAGTGAGCTACAAAAACAGAAATGTTTTCACTTATTTATTGTTTTGCTTTGGGTTTGTTGTTGTTGTTTTATTCCTCTAAAGCTTTGAGATGGGCAAGCCTTTTTTGTGAAAAGACAAATAACAGATTTTTTTGTTGGCTTTCCATGTTTATATAAGAAAATATTCCAATAAAAATCTATTCCTTTCTAAGCTGGACCTCCCCACCAAGGAAGGACTCCTGAAATTAAGATCCATAGTGCCTCGAGAATCCTGTTTTTCTTCATGTTCATAAAAAGAAACAATGCAAAAAATATAAGGTTGGAGTGTTAAGAGAAAATAATAAATTTCCTCCAGGAAAACAACTAGGAGAAAAATTATCATCAACACCAGGAGATTTTCAAGTCATTATGAATGACAATTGCCCCTTTAAGCTCCTAGGTCACTTCTGTAAACAAAGTAGCAATGCATGGCCTCTTATTCCTCCCAAGTCCTCAGCAGGCCCACATCTACCTTTTGCTACCCTCCTAGGTGCCACATTCATCTGCCCAGAGAGCAAGAGTTAGACATCATCGTCGGGAAACTGGCCAGCTTGAAACTCACAGCACTTTTATCTTAATAGGATTTTCCAGAAGTCATGTGGATAAGGATCATATAAATTAGCCTGGTCTTTTGGCTCTTGGAAACAGGAAAGTGTCTGTTAATGTGATTTCAGTATTGATAGATACCCACACTTTCCAGAAAGAAGATGGCATCATTTTCCATATGCAGGAAGCAATTTCTCAATGGAGAGACACACTCAAAAGCACAAGAAATGTAAAATGATGGAGTTAAAAATCATGACCTTGTGGGCAGGTTTATTTTAACCAGTATTTACAAGCAGAAAGAAAATGTATTTTTATAATTTTTCTAGTCAAGAGTCAGCATTGTGGATGAAAATCCCAACGTTTAATAATATTAAGCAATTACTGTTGAGGAATCTGGTTTCCCTAAATGTTTGGATACATATAAATGGAAGAGCACCTGCAATGGAAGTTCTAATGATAAGATGTATAATCTCTATTGCCTTTTCCCATTCCCTTTCATTGGCACTGTTACAGGAAGGCAACAACTTCCAAAGAAATTTCCTACACTGGAATGCATTGATCCCTAATGAATGTTTCCCTCACTAAAAGTACCTATCTGTACAATTAAATTAGCTTGCCATCAAGACTGCTGAATGAATTCAGTCCCTGGAACCCATGCAGTAAAAAGGGAACCAACACTTGTAAACTGTCCTCTGACCTTCACATATCCACCAGTTTACATTCCCATCCATGGGCACATAAATAAATAAGTGTAAATAAATAATTTTTTAAAGAATCAAGATTGAGAGCTGAAGAAATAGTTCTATCAGTAAGGTCCTTGCCACACGAGCCTGAGAACCTGACTTGAGAAAAAAGTCAGGAAAGGTGGCAGGTGCCTATAATTCCAGCAGTGGGGGGGGGGAGCAACAAGAAGATGCCAGAGATGCTGGCCAGATAGTATAGAGAAACTGGCAAACTCCCAAGTACAATGTGAGACTCTGTTTCAAAAAATAAGGTGAAGGTCAATAGAGGAAGATGCTGTACAAACATGTACATCAACACCATAGACACACCTTACATCAGCACTATCTATCTATCTATCATCTATCTATCTATCTATCTATCTATCTATCTACACACACACACACATATATATATCCACACAAAGGTACACACACACAGAGAAAGAGAGAGAGAAACAGATAGAAAAAGACAGAGACAAGCAGACAGAGGGGGGAGGGACAGAATAATAGAATCAGGATTGAGAAGTCTTCTTAGAGTATTATTATTTCACAGTGATTGCTTGTGAATTGGAATATTTACCAGATTGGTCTATCTGCATTCTCTTCTTCCAAAGGTTGCCCTCATGTATGCTTTAGGTTTTTAAAAATGAGAAATCTATGCATCACTGTTTTTGCTGAGTTATATCAGGAATAGAAATCTTTGTTAGCTTTTAGCTAAGCCAAAAGAGTTGTAGTTTAAAAAAATCAGCCCATATTTGCAAACTTCCACAGTGAGACTAACTTCTTTCCAAGCCCCACTGGCTTCATGTATTCTTTTAAAAGAAAATTATTGTTGCTTTTACTGATAGAGAAGGTTTCCTTGGGTAGAGATTAGTGTGTTGCTCAAGATAGCAGGTCTTGGGTGAAGGTTGCATGGTAAATTGCCCAGAAAGAGAAACCTCAAGAGCCATTGCATACACTCTTTGAGGAACTTGTGAAGGTGCCCGGAAAGAAGGAGGGAGGGCAAATCCACACAAAATTTGCCTTGCTAAACCTTTCAGGTAAATCACTCTTGAGCAGACATGATGAAGCCTGGTGGAGTTAGGAATTCCACCCATGATTTCCTTGGAACATATGTTAGTCAAGTGTAAATGTTTCAGAGCTGGAAACTTAATCAGTAAATGGGCTGATCCCCAGTACCCACACAAAAGCCACTGTGGTGATTTAAAAGAAAATGGTCCCCAAAGGTAGTGCGACTTTGTTGGAGTGGGTGTGGCCTTGTTGGAGGAACTGTGTCATTGCTGGGGTGGGCCTTGAAGTCTCTTTGAGGTCTCAAGCTTTGCCCAATGTAGAGACAGTTCACTTCGTGTTGGCTGTGGATCAAGATGGTAAACTCTCAGCAACTTTCCCAGCACCGTGTCTGCCTGCGTGCCGCCATGTCCCTACACGATAATGGACTAAACCTCTGAAACTGTGAGCCACCCAATTAAATGCTTTCCTTTGTGAGACTTGCTGTGCTAATGATGTCTCTTCACAGCAATAGAAACCCTAGATACGCCAGTAGGCAAGGTATGGAGACACATCTGTAGTTCTAGTACCAAGCACCTGAAAAGAGAGATCATGAAAGAATGAAAGTCCCCGATTTCCTAAATACAGTGGAGAACTGAGGAAGATACCCAGCATTAACCTCATATACTCATGCAAACCTACTCTCTCACTCTCTCTCTCTCTTTCTCTCTCTCTCTCTCTCTCTCTCTCTCTCTCTTTCTCTCTCTCTCTCACACACACACACACACACAGAGAGAGAGGGGGGGGGGAATACTTTCTCTATATAAATATTATGGAGAGAAGACTTGAAGCATCCAAGTTAAAGAGAAACAAACAAACAAACATGGGCAGTTTGGCAGTGGTAAGAAAAAACCTGATGCACAGTGCAATAGCTGCTTCAGTGGAAATCTGTTATTCCTTCATTGCACGGTGACAGAAATGACTTGTCATTTGACAAGTCTTCTCCCCATTGTGGAATACTCATTTCTTCCCTTTTCTTTTTTTCCCCCTTGTGTCCTGCAGAGCTCATTATTCATCTTTAGAGCAGTGGGGTCAGAGAAAAAAAAAGAGAGAAACTGAAAGACACCTAGCAGAAAATATTGAGATGGGTAGAGGTAGAAAAGCTGATGTCAGGAAGAAAAAGGAGGAGAGGATAAAATTAAAGACTCAAGCAAAAAGGATTCAGGGCAAGATTAGAGAGGAGAATGAAGGATGAGAGAGGAGCTAGAAATGAAAGCACAACACCTTGTACCAAAGTAGAAAACAAATGCATGGAGATCTTAAAGTTGATCTGGATGACAAATTAGACTTCATTAGAGCCTTCATTTCAGAGATAAAGTTAATTATATTTCCGGGAGCTGGTTGGCTGGAAAGATTATACCACATAATTTGTAATTTGGATGTAGTCATAGTCTAGTAAATAAGTCTGCCTTTTGATGATGTATGTTGGCATCCAAAATTGCTTGATGCTGCAACGATAAACGCCACACTTATTGAGAGTATAGGTAACTGTTTATTGTATAAATTACTCACAAGAGGAAAACAAGCCACCCAGATGAGTGGAGTAGTTTTCTACCACTGAACTGGAAGCCAAAAAGGGGAGAGCGCTTTGCTGTTCCTTCTTTTATTCCTTCCTCTGTACACGCCCCTAGCCATGCCCAAAAGTGGGCCTGGCTAGTGGCATAGTTACTCTGCACTGTCTCTAGTCATGCCTGAAGTGGGTGTGGTTAGTGGCCCAGTTCTGCCCTTTCATTACCACATTGGTATGCATCTTTAGAGCGCCCCATGCCTAATGGTGGGGTCCTGTTTCCCCCTACAGTCGCTCATATTAAAATTTCTCCTAGGGCCGGGCGTTGGTGGGGCACGCTTTTAATCCCAGCACTCGGGAGACAGAGACAGGCAGATCTGTGTGAGTTCGAGGCCATCCTGGTCTACAGAGCGAGTTCCAGGAGAGCCTTCAAAACAATACAGAGAAACGCTGTCTCAACCCCCTCCCCAAAAAAATTTCTCGTAGGTCAATGGTGCATATTTAGTGTGAAAGCTAGACCTGTGGAACAATGAGGAAGTCTCAAGTAAAATGGGTTCCAATTTGAAAAAAATCAGACTTGTAGAATATAATACATTTGATTGCTTTTAAAAGAAAAATTTCTCTCATGAAGTTGCAAATTGAATATTAATTTTGAGACTGATTTTGAGACAGCTTCTGTGACTACCTAGTTTTGAAGAAAATATACTGCTCATGTGTGTGTGTGTGTGTGTAGGGGGTGGTACTGAGACTAACCATAGAGAGACTGAGACCAACCAGGGGACAACATAGCATTCAAATATTATTTTGTTTTTAGACAGAGTCTCTCACAGACCTAGAACTCAGCACAGGTGAGTCCACATGGGGAAACCACCAGCTGCCTGGCCAAACTTGGAGGAATGCAAGCACCTAGTGAACCCTGCTTCTGCTTGGCAGGAGACTCTGGAGACTGGAAGAGTGTGCACTGTGGGGAAGCAGAAACAGGCATGAAAGCTTGGCCTTCTGGGAACTTTCCCATTCTCCGCCCCCATTGTTTGTGAAGAGAACAATGAGCTTTGATGATGGTGGCAGAATCCAGCAGTGGATGGACTTGACTAGAGAAGTTGACTATCAGAAAATGGAAAGCAGATTCATATGCATGCACAATTTCCATACATACTGATATGCACAGCCTCCCATCTAACTCCTCTTCTGATCAAGAACTCTGGTTGTGTTGGTTGTAGTTTTCCACTTGCCTAAAGGTCCAAGTTGTACAGTGGAAACCCTAGAGGCAGGAAGAAAATCTTTCTCAGAGGAGCAAAAGTGTTTATGGGCAAGGAAACAATTAGCTTGTCCTTTGGAGGCACCTGAAAAGAATTCCCAAGGACAGCGAATGAAGGTGCACACTGACGTATGAAAGTGATAGTTTTGGGGACTAAGAGAAAATAGAAGTAATGTAGAAATGAATGATTGCTAGACTCCAGTCCTTTGAAAGCAGTAATCCACTCAGATATGACTATAGGGTCTTCAAGATTTAAATAAACCATAACAAACTATGTCAATAGGGTCTTCAAGATTTAAATAAACCATAACAAACTATGTCACAACAGAATTTTAGAAAGAACCAGCATTCAACCTAGGATCCAAAGTGTAGCTAGTAAACTTCCTGCAGCATTTAAACCTGCTTCTAGCATAATTTCAGATTTCAGGAGGAAGGCAAAGATTGAGCTCTACCACTGTGTCTGCTTAGTTGAAGCTTATCCTCATTCCTAAAGTAAGGTGTTTCTGAGACAGGGTGGGATTTCACAAACCCTTTCACTCTTAGCCAAGCTGACTCCACAGAGGCTCTAAAAAACGTTGCTGTTTCTCAATATGCCCTGATCCTTCCCCATGATCACTCCTCGATCTTGAAGTGCTTACCTTATAAACCCCGATGACATAAACATTTACATGCATGCTTCATTTTAGAATAATTCCTTGAGTTATACTCATGGGTTGGTTAAAATTCTCACTTGTTACCCCAGAGTGAAGATGAGACCCATGGAACGTGGGTAACTTGCTGAAGCTTGCATCTCTGGTATGGGATGGCACTGGGATCTAGCAGCAGGAGGCTGCTTGGTGGCTACTTTCAAGCATCTACTGTCTGCCAGTGTAATATATGCTGCTTTCCAGTGCTTCAAAATCAGCACTCGGAAAGTCCTAAGGGATACATTGCTAACATACATTCATTGTTAATATGCGGCTAGGTTACATAATCCCAAATATTATTGCAAAATGATCCAGAGACTGTCTCACAATTAAAATAAAGGTCCATCTAAGTTGAACCCTCTGTATTGCCCCACAAGAGTTGAATGGATTGTTTGGACTGCATTTGTGTAGTAAAACACCATACTGAACCTCAATCCTTTTGATACAGGCAAATCTTATAGTATTCTATTGTTTTATAGCCACTCCTTTTGTTTTTAAACTTTTTCAAATGTTGTTTTAATACTTTTATTATCTCAAAAATTTAGGCAATCTAACCCTATTGTAGGAAACAGAAGGCAGTCTGGAGCAAATTAGGATTTGGACAACATGGTGCTAATAATAGGTATCTGGTTTGAGTCAGTTAAAACTTGGCTGACATCCGACATTCAAGGTACAATAACCTAACAATGGTTGACATTGAACATTCAAGAATCTGCAGTTTAACAATGATGTAATGTTATATTATGGAAGAATGTCACTTTTGTGTGTTTTGGAGAAATATTCCCTTGAGAGCAGGGGCAAATGCCCTTACCATTCGCCTCTTCCGGCTAGTCTGTGGAGGCCTATGAGACTACCCACAGCCTATGTGCTGGACTACATGTGCTAATGCCATGCGAGGCTGCCGTGTACAAGTGTGTGCCTCGTGCCCACCAGCACCTGCCCGACCAGCAATCTATGTGTCTACAGTATGTCTCCTCTGCTTACATCTCCTTCCATCTTCTTTAAGCCCCCACCCTGCAATGCCCCTCCTATGATCCTGGCTTCAGACCCTGGACTTCACATCTGCTATCTGTTTCAACAGCTTTCTTATACGACTGTAATTTCAGACTGAGTTCAATGAATTTTTAAGCCATGTTGAGGATGTTTTCAGGAGTAATTTTTTTTTTATATTTTATTTTCCAGTTTAAATTTAGATAAGAAACTGCTTCACAAGTCAGTTCCAGGTAATTGCTTCTGCCAATGCACACTCCCCCTCCTGCCCCATTAGCCTTCATATGAGAAATGTTTGGCTTAGTTTTTTGGTTTTAAGTATAAAGTTAGTATGAATCTAAATACCAACTTATTTAAAGCCAGGCTCATGCCTATGCTTTTAGAGAATTCTTTTGTCTGCAGAGAGACCTGTCCAAGAGAGAAGCTTTTTTGGTCTTCTTGTGCTGGTGAGTTTTTATTTTGCCAAGAACAGAGATGAAATTTTCAGTTATTTCCATTCTTTCCCACCTCTGACAGTCAAGTCTTGTATCTATGATCTGGAAAACCAATAAATCATGTGGTCAATGGTTTCTAGAGGAAGTGGGCCTTTCAATACCACCAAGACAGACCCAACAGCTCCTTTGTCTCATGTTTTAAGTCCATTTATCTCTTGAGCTGAAATCTGCCCTTTGAAATAGCAGTCATATTGTAGACAACATTGCTAGTTTTTGTAGTATCTTCCAATTCTCTGTTCTGATGGCAAAAGACTTTCCGATAGGGCAACTAATGTTAAATCACCTGGATTAATCAGAATCCCATTTAATGTACTTATGGAATCTATAAATTACTGAGTATGAAAGTCACTGAAATGGGAAAAAATACTTGTGGAAAGACGGTTAAGAAACTGCTTAGCTATCATTCACTCAATAAGAAAAGAAAAGCCGGCCCAAAATCTATCTGAGGAGTCCACTAAAGAAGAACTTTCACCAGGGTTCATCTACCCAGGGACAGAATCCTAAACTTTATTTTGGTAAAGAGATGAGAAAACTTAGTAACTCCCTCTCCCCACATCAGACATCTCATTGCTATCTTTCAAAAGGAACAAATCAAATCTCCATTACATCAGTGTGTGTGTTCAAAGACATCACTTTGCCTTTATGCCTTTGTGCTTGCCACAGAACAGGCAAGTTGAGAAGTTGAGATAGTCTTCTGTAGGTCCTAGGAGACTGTGCAAGTCCAGCATCTTGGAGGAACAGCAGAGTCATTTACTTAATGCACCAGCCCTGGTCACAGAAAGTGCACTGAACTTCTACAAACAGTACAATGAGCTGTGATGTATTGAGAAACACTTACATCTTTGGCATGGATCTTGCCCACATGACAGAGACTTCACCAAATTCAGGTAGGAGAGGAGGGAATAAAGTCAAAGAAAAAACACAGAAAGAAATTGTTTTCTTAACAAAGTAATATTTTCAACTGCCTCCTCAAATTCTTTTCGTGTGAAAATACTTATATGAAAAAAGCAGTACACATTCTGTTTCACTTGGTCATCACTACCATTAATTGGTTTTGACACAAATGGAACTTGACAATCAACTGGCAGTATGTAGGTTCAGGGTTATGTACAATTCCCTGATCAGAGCATTTGTAATGCAGGCAATGTAGTTCTTGAAATGATACAATGATTTTTCATTTCAGTTGCTACACATCTATTTGAGAGAACACAGAATACATAGGTAAAGAAAATAAATACACTGTGATAAATAATCAAAACTAATATAAAGAATAAACACAACCATTTTATAATGTATTGACTTACACATGAAGTTTTTTAGTATAACAATTAAATTTCTACAAAGCTGTCTTGAAACAAATAAAATTCAACCACATTAGAAACAAGTCAAAGTCACATGTGAACAGAATCACAGTCTACACACTTTAGAGAATATGCCTCTGAGGCCTATGTGCTGGGCTGAAGCTGTCCAAGGTTTCTCAGTTGAACCTCCTGATTTGGGCAGCTGCTCAAAGAACTGACCCAGCAGATTCCATCAGACTCCACCTTGGCTGCTGTCAGACAAGCTACAATCTCAAGAGGATCAAATTCAAGAATGCGGTAAAGAGACACAACACTGGGAGAGTCCCTGTTGGCACAAGACTTACACAAATGCCTTCCAAACACTTGATAGGTCTGACAGGTTAGTCAGTCACACACATACAATACTGGCAGAAATAGCAGTGGGACACTGAAAGAACACAGAAAAACTGCACACACCAGCAAAAGCACCAATCTCCCCTCTTTCTCTCACTTCACACTTAGGGTTTATGCAGAAATATCATTCACCCTTTCTAATCCTCTAAAACTTCCCTTTGGACTGTATTGTTCCTCATCTTATAAAATGCCGCACAGCAGAGATTCCTTAACTAGCATTTTAATCACCTCCCCCAACGATGTTTCAACTGACACTTATTCAAGCTTACATACACTCAAATCATGGGACAATATATTAATTATCAGCCAGGGGTTTGGACCTAAAAATTAAATATATGTGGCTTTCTCTACTGTCTCAAGCTGATCTGTCTCAAGTGTGTTTGCCTTCTATTGCACTAGTCATTATAGATACCAGGTATAGATCCTAGGTACAAGATGAGATTGTAGTGATTGCCATGCAGTTCAATGGTTGTGAAGTGAATGAGCTATCCCTTACCTGTTCCATGATTATCCTCAAAACAAACAAATGACAACAAAAAACTGAAATTGCCTGTGCATTGCCTCCATGAGATTCTAAGCTATCTGGCATGGTTCAGAACAGTCGAGGCAGAGTAAAAGAAATAAAAAAAAAGAGGTAAGTGGAATTCTCAGATATTCCAACAAAGAACAAGGCACCTTACTCTAACTACCTATACACAAAACACTGTACACTCTTGTTCCACTATCGCCGATTTTAACATACAGAAAATAGCATTCTACAATTAAATAGCAAATATGGCCATGGAGGAGAAGCATAGTTAGTTTTGTTTTATGTAATCATGTTTCCATGCACTTAGCTTCTGCATTAAATTTATTATGTACACAAAAATAAAGTATATTAATACTGATCTGATTTAAGTTGACTTTTCTCCTTAATTTTATATCATCTAAGTATTGAAAATAAACCAAAGTCTTCAAATAGAAATAAATTATATTAGATAAGTAGATACTTGACTATTTACTGGAAACCAAATTTTTGCCAGGATGTTAAAAAGGGGAAAGGCTAGGAAAAATGCTTCCTATAGATGAATAAAGTTTTACTGAACTGGACCCTCTTCTCAATGACTCTCCCAACCCTCCTATTTATGTAAATATTATTAAGAAAGGAAACATAATATCTCATGGAACAATTAGGTACTATTTGGAGTCCAGTTAGAAACAGGTTTTGAAACATTCCTAAAAGCCAGGGCAGATTAATTCTTCAAGCCTTCCCTCTGGTCAAGCATCCCAGTAAAACCCAGTACTTCAATTAGAGGAAGGAGGGGTACTACACAAAGCAGAGACACGGAGCCTTCCCTTGCCCACTACTCTGAGCTGGATTTATTCCTTGAGCACACCATGCATCTGATTACAAGGGAAGGAAAGGCACGGGCAGAAGAGAAGCTACATCTCAGCTCCAGCAGGAAGATAACAGCCACCACAGAACCAGGCTCTTTTGAGTAAAGATATGTCAGAGGGCAGGAACAAGGGAGGGCAGAAAGGTCTCCCAATACTTCAGTTCTGTGATGGCCTCAGCCTTGAGTTGACAGCTAACTAAGTTACAAAGATGAAATAAAAACATTTATAGAGAATGAATTGTCCCAATGAAATCTGCCTTTGTGCAAGGTTTGTAGCAGCCTCATGCAGTACAGGTGGGCAGATTCTGAACCTCTACCACCATGGAGCCTCCTGATGGCAGCTAATGCAGAGAAAAGGTTATCTAAACAGTCAGAGAAACATACTACATATCCCTTCTTAAAATGACAGAAACATCTTGAATTTCACAAACCTGTACTCATTATTCTGACGCAACCCGAGGGTTTTGTATAAGACTGACTTTAGGCATCTTTCATACATCTAGAATCTAATTTTATGAATCTATTCTAAAGATATGAAAGGGTAGGAGAGGAGGTGGAGAGATGTTTTTAAAGAAGCTGGTTCCCTTGATAACTGACACCAGATTGAGTAGGGGGAAATTTATAACAATACAATTCTCTAGAGGATTAAGGGAGATGGAAACAAAATCAAATCTTTCATCTCTTGATACCGACTTTCATCAATTTTCACCAAAAGCACATCACTAAAAGAAAAGCAAACATGTTTTCCAGTTACTATTAAAGTGGTTCCAGAGGCAGAGAACCCCTTGATATGAAACTAAACAACACAGACCTAAAGTCAGCTTCACAGAACTATCTTGTAATGACAAGACAAAGCCCTTTGGGTTAAAAAAAAAAAAAAAACAAAGAACATGGCTAAAGAAACCCTTGAATAAGTTCTCCTGAAAGTACTACAGGCTGACCAAACCATTTGTGCTTTGTTTACACCTGTCCTATTAAACCCCTACTACCTTTTGAATTGCCAAAGATTACAGCATGTGCTTTGAGATCCTTGGGAGTTTTAGCCTCATCAGCCATGATTGATTACCTACAGCTTTAAGTCGAATAAGAGTAATGGAGACAGACCCCTGCTGTCTGCTGCTCTTACTATAGAGTAATTAGGAAATGTGGTAGTCCTCAGTCCAGCAGTGCAGAAGTCACAGAAATTAAAGGTAAGAAATAAAAGACAACAGAGACCAAAAGAGTTCAGATGACTCCTTCTTCTTCTTCTTCTTCTTCTTCTTCTTCTTCTTCTTCTTCTTCTTCTTCTTCTTCTTCTTCTTCTTCTTCTTCTTCTTCCTCTTCCTCTTCTTCTTCTTCTTCTTCTTTTTCTTCTCCTCCTCCTCATCCTTTTAAGTTGTATCTATAGCAAGATCTCTAGAATTTCTAGCCCCAAGAGAAAGTGTTTGGGGGGATGTGGTATCCAATGTTTCTTACATGACAAAAACAAATGCTTAACAATAAAGACTCTTCCTGAACTCCAAGGATGCTCAGGAGTAATGTGGTTTTGCTCTCACTCCTTTTAATACAGTAGCTTCATTTCTAAAGGTGCTATGGAGGACCGGAGAGGAGTCCTCTGGTTGACTCTTTGGCCCTCAAATATATCAACTTGTTCTCCACCTAAATCCCCACGAGATCCTTACTCCATAGTGGCTGAATGCTCTCCCTGACTCTCTTTAGGACACAGAGGTTTACAACAATGTGACCACAGGACCAGAGATCATCTTCTAAGAGTGAACATTGCTCTTTCAGAAAAAAAATTAAAAAATAAATAAAAACTAAGGATTTGGTTTAAACTGAAGACCAGAGGGAAGCAGATGCATTTTTCTGGCCTGTAGTTTTAGAAATAGCATCATGAAATCTATGGTCCATTGTCTGCTTGCTGACTCTTGCGCTGCCTCAGTGAGTCTTCTACCGCCTCCTGTGTGGTAGCTGAATGAGCTTCATCAGGTTCAAGTTCCTCCAGGGACACACTGCGTTCCTGCAGTGCTCCTTCATCATTAGCGTCACTTCGCTCTTCATCCATGCCATCTGCCAGGTTTTCCTCTTCCTCATATTCCTCTGCTTCATCCTCATCTCCAAGGTCCTCTTTCTCTTCCTCATCATCCATAAGACTGTCTTTGTTTTCTTCTTCATTTGAGTCATCCTTTTCTTCCTCTGCATCCTGCAGCTGCTTAGCTCCTTTTACCTCCTCTGGCCTCTGGTCCTGCTCTATGGGCAGAAGAGAGAAAGAAAAACTAAACCCTCTGAATATACAATGGCAATTTAGTAATTATCTCACTGGATAAATGAGGTTTCTCCACTGAAGTGCTGGTGTCATATGAACAGGTTTTCTGGCTTCAGCTTATCTCCATCTAGAGATTTAATATCTCCTTACAGGAGCATCACTGAACTGATGGCAGAGCACTTGGGAATGGAGGGAAAAGTTTTGTTTGTGCTATATATTATGTACAGTGTAAAAGACTCAGTGACTCACTGGTCAGAGCAACTATTTCAGACAAGCTGAACCAATCAGAGTCCTGCTCCCCAAGAGTTTGAGGTAAAGTCAGGAAGAAAAGGCCTCCTCTTACCACAGAGGATAAAATATGAGTTGGGAATAGTGATAGTTACTGAAGGAACTTTAAAAACATAACATCACTTGAGCTAGGCTTGAAGCCAAAGAACACTGCAGCAGTTTACACACTGGCTCCTTTTCTTACACCATAATGCTGAAGGTTGGACCTGTTATCTAGCTATCTATACAGTCTTACATACTTCAAGAACTAAAGACATGACCCTATTTAAACTCCTGAGAAATATCAACATTAAGAATAAAGGCCATCAAATTCATAGCCAGTTAGACCGAGAAGTAAAGAGAATAAATGCAAATTTGGGCAAACTGTTGTTAAAGGACTTGAGATAGTGACAAGCTGTTGCAGACTCAAGGAATGTGAGTACTTTTAGGAATCATTCCTTCTAATTCAAGAATAAAATTGTTCACTGAAAAATGACAGGGATAAGCCAAAGAGGACAATGCAATCTTCAATATGAAGTATTTTCTAACTTTGAAGAGGAAAGTAAATTTCATTCAAATTTGTATGGAGAACACATCTTTAAGGAACTCAGCAGAAGTAACTGGATGCTCAGTGACTGGATGCTAAAGCCAAATGCAGAGCCACAGAATACCACAAAACTCGAAAAACTCTACCCATGGGAACTTTTCAGACTCACCAGAATGTTCAGATGAAACTCTTGGAAGAGGCACATAGAAGCATTCTGAGATCACCACTAGGACCTGGAGGGAAAAAAGTGACTCCACACTGAGTAGACAAGACAGATTGCCAACTAACCTCAACATCAGATATGTGTCCCATAACCAGATGTCCTTAGACAGACACTTGGCAGCTGGCCAAAGCCTTCAGAAAGATACAGTAGAGTTGAAGAATACTCCAGGGTATGACCATATATAAGAAAGTTGTAAAATATGTACTTGATCCTCAAACTTGAAAAGTAGCATATAATAAAACAGTTTAACTGTCAGGAGGCTTCAATCAAGAATATCAGGCTAACAAACTTGTTAAATAGTTATCTTTTACAATTTCAGAATATTTTAGAGATAAGCCTAGAGGGTGATAATTAATGAATTTTTCATTATACTACATATTACCATTGCAACCACAAAGCAAATAAACTACTTAAATAACACAAAATAGTATTTATGTTTTCCCTTTCATGGCCACCTTTTAATTTTACATGATATCATCTGTTTCAAAAAAAGACAAAAAAGCTGGCATTATCTTACCAGACCCATGAATAGGCCAAACACCAAAGTGGCAATGATGAAAAAGATGTAAGAACACCATGCAGGAATTCCAAGAGTCACTGTGAAATAGTTGTGAAGGTGCTGTAATCAAAAGGGAAACAAAATGTTTACTTACAGTTCAGGATTCTCTAGCTGTAACTCCACTCTACAAGTTATCTCTCCACATATGTGCCTCAAGCTTATACTCAATGTTTACTAATGAACAAGTCAAATTTTATAGAATTAAAAACAGAGTAATTATCAAAATCATATTCAGTAAGAAATATGCTTTAGAGTTCAAGATCTTGATAGAGGTCTGGTCAAATTGCTTTAAGAGTTCTTTCTTCCATCACAGAAGGTTTTCTAAGACCTTTGCCCTATTCCTCCATATTCAATCCTAACATGACTTATTAAAAAGTGAAACCCTTGGGCCCTTATGTGTTTCTGTTTAAAGCAAAGTGTCCCTAGGAATATGACCCATTTAAAATGTCTCCAGCTAACTTTTCCTAATGTTAAACAATGTGAATTACAGATATGAACTGTTCATTTCAAATTAAAGTCTATTTAGAAGTAGACTTGCTGGGCCCATACTTTCTCATGATAAGACATATTGTTTTAGATCACAAACTAAAATCCAATCAATTACTAGGCAAAGAATTAAAAGACTCCAAGCTAGGCATTAACAGCCCACAGAAACAATTACTGAATGACCTTCCCAGAACACACACGCACGCTCGCACACAAATATGAGTCGAAGTTTCTACTTTAATTTCGTTTTCTCAAAATCTAAGTCATTCCTATTAGAATTTTTGTTTATTCTAATAAATTAAATATTTTAACCTGGAGTGTTGTAAATTAAAAACATGTAAACAAACAAACAAAAAATTGTTAATGACCAGAACAATGGACAATTCAAGAAAAAGGCCAAGTAACATATAAAGACAGACCTATCTGAATTACACCCGACTTCACAATGGAAACTATGAAAGCCAGAAAATCCTGGACATATGTCCTACAAACGCTAAGGGAACAAGGATGCCAGCGCAGACTACTATATCCAGCAAAGCTTTCAATTACCATAGATGGAGAAAACAAAATATTCCAAGACAAAGCCAGATTTAAACAATACGTATCCATGAATCCAGCCCTACAGAAAGTGCTGGAAGGAACACCTAGACCCAACAAGGATAACTACACTCACAAAGACATAGGCAATAGATAATCCCACTTTATCAAACACCAAAAGAAAAAGGGAAGAGAACCGACACACAGTAACACCACTACCAATAAATCAAGCATAAATAAGAATCATCAATCAATGGTCATTAATATTCCTCAATGTCAATGGTCTCAACTTGCCTATAAAAAGACATGGACCAGTAGAATGGATACAAATACAGAACCCATCCTTCTGCTACATACAAGAAACACATCTCAACATGAGAGTAAAGGGTTGGGAAAAGATTTTCCAATCAAATGGACCCAAGAAACAATCTGGTGTAGCAATCCTAATATCTAACAAATTAGACTTCAAATTAAAATCAATCAAAAGAGATGAAGAAGGACATTTCATATTCATCAAAAGTTCATCAAGATGAAGTCTCAATTCTGAACATCTATGCCCCAAATATAAAGGCACTCACATTCGTGAAAGAAACATTACTGGAACTCAAAGCACATATAAAATTTCAAACACTAGTAGTAGGAGACTTCAACACTCCACTTTCACAACTAGACAGGACCTCCAGACAGAAACTTAACAAAGAAATAAAAGAACTAAAAGAAGTTATGACCCAACTGCGTTTAACATACATCAATAGAACATTCCACCCAAACACAAAAGGACATACCTTCTTCTCAGCGTCACATGGAACCTTCACTAAAATTGACCACATAATAGGAAACATAGCAAACCTCCACAGATACAAAAAAAATTAGAATAGCCCCCTGTATCTTATCAGACCAACAATAACACAAATCGCGGAAATGTTACAAACCTATGGAAATTGAGCAATGCACAATTGCACCATCCCTGGGGAAAGAAGAAATAAAAAAAGAAATTAAAGACTTCCTGGAATTCAATGAGAATGAAGACACAACATACCCAAACTTGTGGGACACTCTGAAAGCAGTGCTGAGAGGAAAGTTCATAGCATTAAGTGTCCACATGAAGAAACTGGGAACAGTCACACTAGAGAATTAATAGCACAGCTGAATGTTCTAGAACAAAAAGAAGCAAACTCACCCTGGAGGAGTAGACTTCAGGAAATAATCAAATTGAGGGCTGAAATCAATTGAGTAGAAACCAGGAACACATTGCAAAGAATCAATGAAACAAAGAGTTGGTTCTTTGAGAAAATCAGCAAGATAGACAAACCTTTGCCCAAACTAACCAAAAGGCAGAGAGAGAGAGTATGCTAATTAACAAAATCAGAAATGAAAAGGGGGACATAACAACGGGCACTGAGGAAATCCAGAGAATCATTAGGGCATAGTTTGAAAATCTGTATTCGACAAAGTTTGAAAATTTAAAGGAAATGGATAATTTCATGGATAGATATCAATTGCCAAAACTAAATCAAGAACGGATAAACAATCTAAACATACCTATAACCCTTAATGAAATAGAAGCATTCATCAAAAGTCTCCCAACCAAAAAAAGCCCAGGCCCAGATGGTTTCAGTGCAGAATTCTACCAGAAATTCAAAGAAGGGCTAATTCCAATAATCCTCAAATTGTTCCACAAAATAGAAGCAGGAGGCTCACTGCCAAACTCTTCTTACAAGGCTACAATTACCTTGGTAGCCAAGCCACACAAAAACACAACTAAGACCAATTTCCCTCATGAACATTGATGCAAAAATACTCAATAAAATACTGGCAAATAGTATTCAAGAACACATCAGAAAAATTATCCATCATGATCACGTAGGCTTCATCCCAGGAATGCAGGGATGATACAACATTAGAAAATCTATCAATGTAATACACCATATAAACAAACTGTAAACGAAAAACCACATGATCATCTCACTAGATGCTGGAAAAGCCTTTGACAAAATGCAGTACCCCTTCATGATAAAGGTCCTAGAGACATCAGGGATAACAGGACCATACCTGAATATAATAAAAGCAATATACAGTAAACCAACAGATAGCATCAAACTAAATGGAGAGAAATTCAACGCAATTCATCTAATCAGGAACAAGACAAGGCTGGCCACTCTCTCCATATCTCTTCAATATTGTACTTGAAGTTCTAGCTAGAGCAATAAGACAACAAAAGGAGATCACAGGGATATAAACAGGAAAAGCAGAAGTCAAGCTTTCACTATTTGCAGATGATATGATAGTTTACAAAAGTGACCCAAAAAACTCTGCAAGGGAACTCCTAGAGCTGATAAACACCTTCAGCAAAGTGGCAGGATACAAGGTTAACTCAAAAAAATCAGTAGCCCTATTATATACAGATGATAAAGTGGCTGAGAAAGAAATCAGAGAAACATCACCCTTTATAATAGCCATAAACAGCATCAAATATCTGGGGATAACATTAACCAAAGAAGTGAAAGACCTGTATATCAAGAACTTTGATTCTCTAAAGAAATAAATCAAAGAGAACACCAGAAAATGGAAAGATTTTCCATGTTCTTGGATTGGTAGGATCAACATAGTAAAAATGGCAATCTTGCCAAAAGCAATCTACAGATTCAATGCAATAATCCCTATCAAAATTCTGGCACAATTCTTCACAGACCATGAAAGAACAATAATAAGCTTTATATGGAAAAATAAAAGACTGAGGATAGCCAAAACAACCTTATACAATAAAGAAACTTCAGGAGGCATCACCATACCTGATTTCAAGCTCTACTACAGAGCCATAGTCCTGAAACCTACTTGGTTTTGGCATAAAAATAGAGAGGTAGACCAATGGAATCCAATTGAAACCCCTGATTTTTAACCCACACACCTATGAACACTTCATTTTTGACAAAGAAGCTAAAATTATACAATGTAAAAAAGAAGTGTCTTCAACAAATAGTGCTGGCATAACTGGATATTGGCATGCAGAAGACAGAAGACTGTAGATAGATCCGTGTCTATTGCCTTGCACAAAACTTAAGTCCAAATGGATCAAAGACCTCAATATAAATCCTACCATACTGAAACTCTTAGAAGAGAAAGTGGGAGATACTCTTCAATACCTGAACATAACACCAGTAGCACAGACACTGAGATCGACAATTAACAAATGGGACCTCCGAAACTAAGAAGCTTCTGTAAGGCAAAGGACGCAGGCAACACGACAAAAAGGCAGTCCACAGAACTGGAAAAGATATTCACTAACTCCACATCTGACAGAGGGCTCATCTCCAAAATTTACAAAGAACTCAAGAAGCAAGTCTCCAAAACATCAAAGGATCCAATTAAAAAATGGGGTACAGAACTAAATAGAGAATTCTCAATAGTGGAGTCCAAAATGGCTGAGAGACACTTGAGAAAATGCTCAACATCCTTAGCCATCAGGGAAATGCAAATCAAAACAACTCTGAGATACCATCTTACTCCTGTCAGAATGGCTAAAATCAAAAACACCAATGACAATTTATGCTGGAGAAGATGTGGAGAGAGGGGAACACTCCTCCACTGCTGGTGGGAGTGCCAACTCATACAGCCACTTTGGAAATCAGTATGGAGATTCCTCAGGGAAATGGGAATAAACCTACCACAAGACCCAGCAATTCCACTCCTATGCAAATTCATACAACAAGGACATCTGTTCCATCATGTTTATAGCAGCATTATTTGTAATAGCCAGAACCTGGAAGCAACCTAGATGCCCCTCAACTGAAGAGTGGATAGAGAAACTTGGTACATTTACACAGTGGAGTACTACTCAGCAAAAAACAAACAAACAAAAAAAACAAAAAACAAAAAACAGTGGAATCTTGAAATTCACAGGCAAATGGATGGCACTAGAAGAAGCCATCCTGAGTGAGGTAAACCATTCACAAAAAGAGAAACATGGTATGTACTCACTCATATATGGATTTTAGACATGCACCATGATAGTGCCAGTCTGCAATTTCACTGACAGT